ATTTTAAATGTATAATTTATATAATCACTTATTTTAAATTATTAGATATGATATATTTTATTTTAATTTAAAAAATTTAATAATTTATTTACTTTAAAATTTTTTATAAAAATAAAAATTGTGATTTTTTAATTTTAAATAAAAAAAACTATATGATCAGAGAGGCAAAAAGTTACAATCTGGCAACATTATAAATCATAAAATATAGCCAATACATGCCCTACCGCCAGCATTTGAATTATTGTTCCAAATTCAAATTCAAATTCAGTACATGTATCTTTTTTCTTATATATATAGACTCGTCAGCTTTTTTATCATCACAATGATCGAATTCAAATTTTTTAAATTAAAATTAATATCAAATTTGTAATTATCATGATGTGTTTTTGAAAATTTTAATTCAAAACTTACAAAATTATTGATAAATTTAGAAAAATGATGATTGCCCCATTCCCAAGCAAGTTGCAAAGTGAGAGGAGGAATTGAAATTTGGTCATATAAATCTTGATTATTCCTATATATTGTGAATGGTAGGTACTTAGCCAATAATCATGCATCAATCCAGAAGTCATAATCGTGGCACCGTTGTCCAATCTTTGACTTTTCATGGATTTTACGCGCATATGTAAACGCGGCAATTATGATATTCAAATGATTGAAATTGGACAATCACAGCAATCATAATTGTTAATTTCTACAAATTAAATTTTTTTGTTGAATTAAAATTAAAATTTGAACTCAAAACCCTTAATTCTACACGGAACTAACAATTCATGATTATATATTAAATTTTGACCCATCATCCTAGCAACAAAATAAAAGGGCATGCATAATAATCAGTTATTATTGTTAAAAAAAAAGTTAATTATATTTTTTATAACTGAAATTTAAAAACATGTATAAATTATTATTTAAATAAATAAATATATAATTTTTATTTAAACTTTTAAATAATGGATAATTTACATATTAAACTTTTAAATTATATATTATATTAATAAAACTCTAATTCTGTTAGTCATATCAAATTATATATGCAATTTTTAACAAATATTATTAAATTATATATTTATCACACATATTATCAATAATTTTTTTAAATATAAATTAAATATATATTTTTTAATTTATCTAAATCTTAAAAAAAAGTTTAAGATTGACAAATCATTTTGTCACGTGACATCCACATTAAAGTTTTTATAAAAATTTAACATTTTTATTCAACAAATAATATACGTATAACAAAATTATATTGGTTAAATATCATATAGTCAAATTAAAATAACAATATTAGAATTTGGATTAGAATGATATAATATTTGAAAGTTTAGAATGTAAATTATACATTTTATTTTTTAAGTACCAATTTATACATTTTCTTCAATTTAAGGTATAAAATATGTAATTAACTCTTAAAAAAATCTTATCATATTTATTTGAATCAAACTGTTAAATTTTATTTTTTTTGGATGAAAAGGGAATTATTGGATTAATTCCAAATGAAAATTCCTTTTTCATACAAACAATTATACAGAGTTTTAAGCTTAGGTCCACATACATATAACAGCTTGTTAAATGGTTGTAGAAGCAAATTAACCTAACAAGTTCTTCATCCACTATTAATTTCAGGACTAGGCTACAATGTAAGGCAAATGCCGAAGACAACCGGTTCTTGAAATTGTCTCCTATAATCCATTGCTTGCAGCTGAAAAGTTTGAGAGGGACCAAAATTTGGGTGTGGGGGGACCAACAACCACCACTATAACTCTCATGTTTTCATTTCCACTTTGTCCCTTGCTTTTATGTGCCTCGTTTTTGGTTTTATATATGATTATAAACCTATGGGTTTTTTTTTTTTTCAACATTAGGGTACAAAATTATTGTAATTACACTAACCTTTTAAAAATTGTGGTAGACAACACATAAATTTCTCAAAAAACTAATTTAGGATTGATTTTTATGTAGAAGAGAAACCCTAAAACACTAAAACACCTTATTATCCATTTTATCATTAAAAAAAATTTGTTATCCTGAAGAGGAGTAGATATTTTACAGGCAGCAAGACTAACAAATGATTAAAAAAAAATCCAATAATTTAGGGAGAAAAAGGAAGGAGGACTACAAGTTGGAAACTTGATCATCATTTTTTAATACATGCATTATTATTTATATGTGCAAATTTATTTATGAATTGTAAAAATTATATTTATAAATAATAAATAAAATTTATTAAAAAATAATAAAAAAATACTATGGGAGAGTGGGAGCCGAGGACGAAAAGTTAATTTATGAGGGCCCTCGAGGGGAAAGGGGAATTGGGTCATCCTCCACATGACAAATACACATTGCACCCTTCTCTTTCTGGGCCTTCACCGGTGTCTGTTGTACTCCATGTGACTTCTAGTGCTAAAATGGACAAGCATCTATTTGAATTTTACTGGATTTTTAGTATGATATAATTAAATTCATCTTATTTTCAATTAAATTTAGATGTTAATTTTAATAAAATTTATTCAATATAAATTTTTTATTAAAATTTTTTAATTATAACTATAATAATTTATTATTATTTTCAATCTTATCATTCATTCGAATGAAACTTAATTAATTTCACTTAATCACTCAAATCTTTCTCTATGTTTAGGGTTTTTATTGTTATTTTTTAATAATTATAAAAATCTGTTGACAATGAAAGAAATAGACATTTACTAGCTGATTTTTTTGGGCTATGGGCGGTTAAAAAAAAAAAAAAACCCTAAAGCTATGTAAGAGTAAGGGGTACTAAAAATCTATGGCTTGCTTAATAAACTCTTATTCCCTTTATAAAGAGGCATAAATGAGACCTCAAAGCCATAACTATTTGAGTTTGATGATAATGTTTGAAATCAAGAGAAAAATAACAAAAATTACTATAAAATTATGAATCATAGATGGCAGTACTTAATTTTAACATCTTTAGTCTATATTATTATCACTAAAGATTAAAGAGGGGGTTGTTTTAATTGGTTAGCTCATCTACTTTGAAAGCATTAAAGTTTCAATAATCTTAGCATTGAGCATCAATGACCTCTCTTATTTATGTTCATTATCAAGAATACAATTTTACTAATTAAGGTAATTGCACATCTACATTATAGTTTGAAAGTTGTAACAATCCATATTTATTAGCAGATTTTAGAAGAAAAAAGTTTATCATTATTCCATTAGTAAAGAAGAGTGTTAATTGGAGGACATAGCAATTTCTCTTCTTTTTTATACTTGAATTTCTGAAAAATTAAATATTGTTTATTGAAATTGATTAAAGTAGATAATAATTTCATTAACAAAATTCATTAGATCTGTAGATTTAATTTGATATAAACCGAATTTTAGATAAATTTTTTTTTTAATTGTAAATATTGTATTATTAAATTATTTTATTTAATTTTAAAATATTAATATAAAATTTTTAATAATAAAATAAAATTAAACAAACTTAAACGAAATCAACTGGATGAGTAATGTTAAAATATCAATCATGTTTAATTCTATTCGACTCGATACTCGATAGGATCCCACAATGAATACCTGTACGCGCACGGGTCACAGAGGCATCATTGGCCCTGTCCTTTACGATTGAGATTTGCAATATAAGTGCATGTACATAAAGATGGGACCATGGGGGTGACAAAGACAACAAGAAAAGGAGATTTGGACATCAAAGCCACCGCCGGCGCCACTCCATTCGACTTTTTTTTTTTTTTTCTTCATGGCTTTAGAAAGGTATTATTAATAAACAAATTTTACGACTCTTTTCCTTGGTCCTAGATATCCCAATTTCTCTACTTGTTTTTCCTGCCTTGAATCAAAAACGGTAACCAACTGTCACCGTCTTTATCTCATTTTGTCAACCGTATGATCAATTGAATTGGCACGAATCTTAAGAAACCAAAAAACTTAGCCAGTAGGCTGAGGCAGTGACACCATCTCATTGGATTCCTTCCACTGTACCAAAAGGACAAGCAAAGCAACAGTTCAAAAAGCAAAGGCTGAGACTGAGAGACTGAGAGACAGGGAGACACTCTCACTGAGACAGACAGAGTACTAAAAATTCAGGAAGCAGACAGCGGAAAAAAAGTTTCTTTTTTCTTTCCTGCAACTGTGTTTTTTAAGACACCTATAAACATTTAACGGTGAAACGAATGGAAGCCGCCCATTAATGTTTCTACTATTCCACAGTTAATAATCCACTTCCGTGAGCGGGAATAAAAAGCCAGCTTCATTTCAAAAACTAAATTAAAAAAAAAAAAAGACAAATGCAATAAAGTAATTTGAATTTTTTTAAACAGGAAAAAGCTGAAAAAGCTGATTTTTTAATTAAAAAAGAGGGAAAGGTTGGTTTTTGAGTTCGAGGTTTCCAACTCCTTCAGCTCATCATCACAGCTTCACATTCACAAAGCACATGCTGTTATCTGTTTTTATATATTTGTTAAATACATTTGAATAAAAAAGAAAACCCAAGCGAAAAAAAAAAAAAAAAGAAAAGCAAAGAAAAAGCCAAGAAATAGAAGCCTACATTTTCTGAAAACTTGATATAGTAGTGTTTTTTTTAGCTGATTAATTTACCGACATTCCTGAGCTTTTCTTGCAGTGTTCGTTTTAATGTTATTTTCCCTTAAAACTAAGATTTAACTGAACCCAACTTTGCTTTTCCATCTTGTTTAAGGTTTCTTTCTTCACCTCCAGTCAAAAGGTATTTGATCTGGGTCAGCTCAGCTGCTCTGATTCCTTCAAGTTGTTCCTTTTTCTTTATTTTTTTTTCTTTTATTTGATATCTTGAGTTGGTTGTATATCTGGGTTTTATTTTTTATTGAAATTTGAAAAAGAGGCTTTTGAGCTCTTTAGCTTTCATGTTAACCTCAGGTTTGGATCGTTTTTATTGGGTTTTCTATTTCTGGGTATTTCTCTTCATCTACTGTTACATTGATTGTGATTTATTTTTCTTGGTAGTGGAGTTTTCTTGAAAGATTTGAAAAATGAGATGGGTAGTTCTATTTTTGTGATTCAAGTAGTAGGCTTGTGGTGACATTTGAGATACTATGTATGGTTATTAAATCTTCCATATTCTTCTATTCTTCAGGCAAAGTATTCTGGGAATAATTTTCCTTTCCTTCTGTTACAAAGAATAAAGAAAGAATAAGAAATTTTTTTGGGTATTTAAAAGTGTTATCTGTTCTTGTTGGGATTGGACAGTTAGAGGGTTAGATTTGAAGCAAAGCTGAGAAAATGATAAGCCAAGTAATGTTGTTACTTTTTTTAATGTTTTAGATTGTTGAAAGTTCTGCTTTTTCAGGGGTTTGCTCATATTCTTTTAGAGAAATAGGTTTTGTCCTAGGTTGCCCTTCCTATCTTTTTGTTTAAGAGGATTTTCTGGTGGGTATATGGTGACATCTTGAACAAAGGTTTGCTCTTTCCTTTTGTGCAGATGAATAGTCTCTGTCTGATGAACTGATTGGTGTTGGACTATTGAGTTTGCTATGGAAAAACGGAAATGGTTGTGGAAGAGGAAGTCTTCTGAGAGGAGTCCTGGTGAAACTGAGAGTTCTGGATCCATATCTTCGCATTCAGAGAGATATTCTGATGATCAGGTAGGTGGACAACCTCCTCTATGCTCCTCATTCAAAGTATTGACTTTCAAAAGGCTTGAATGTTTCCCTTTTGTTTTTTGGTTTGGAATTGAATGTTGTTGGTTAAATTTTGTTTTTCTCATGGGTTAATTCCTAGATTCTGATGCCATGCTTCCATTAATTTGAATTCTGGAGATTTTCTGTTTGTATCATTCATATATTTTACCTCTCATCTCCCGTACACTATTGGCAAAAATCCCTTGATAACAATTTTTACTTCTGCTCCTTTTCCTAAAAAAAGGTTCTGATGGGCTCTGAATTATTTTTCATATTTTTCAACATAGTTCTCTTCTGTTTCTCTTGTCAAGTGGATATTTGAGTTATAACGCATTAATGGGGTGATAAAATTCTCTCATCTGATAATTGCGTTAGATGCTTGAAGTTCTTTTGCCTTAAGACTTCTGTTAATCTCAATCAAACTTTTGTGATTTGATTTTAGACCACACCTATTTGCTTTTCATGTTTTTGGCTGTCAAGTTGAATCTTGCCCAGCATTTAAATAGTATGAAAAGAGTAGCTAAGTGGCATAAGGAAATAGCTTGTAGTTTGGTTCGAGTTAAACTTCACAGACTGACTGGGATTGCCATATTTTATACGACAACATGATGTGACCTGGATAGTTGACATAATAATCCTCGGTCAACTATTAAGACAAATCTCCTAGTTTAGCTTTTTTTCCTACTTAGGCGAAAGAAGAATTGTAGTATTGAGCACAGGAAGGCTTATTAGGGGGCTAAAGTTGTCTTTTAAGGTGCTTTCAGTGTGATTTCTAGTGGTGCCTTGAGGATTATAGGATACATGTTAAATGATCTTAATGAATAATTCATTGTTGTAATTGGATTGGGTACCTTAAAATTATTGTTTAACTAAATAGGAGCTTTTAGTCAAAATAGATGGAAGTTAATGTAAAGAAACCTAAATGGTTGTTCCGGCAGGTAATGCTAAAGCTACATGTTGATTGAAAGCATGTTGTGCAGCATGTTAACTAGACAGGTTGAGACAGTTAGTTACCGTCTCTTCTCCTGCTAAAGCTTCCATGTTTCTGTTCTCGGATAGAGTCTGAGCTGCTTTGCTACTCTTCGTGGTCATGCTGCTTTACTAACAAAGACAAATTGTTGTATTCTTAGGAAAGTATATAACTGAATGTCTTCACCTTAGTGAATAAAACATTTATATTTCCACGGACAGATTAAAGCATTGACAAACAAGAATGCTTTTTTGAGGAAGAAAGGCAGTTAAAAGGGTTGGATCCTCATTAACACTATTGGCTGGACATATTTTCTCACTTTGGCAAACATGCACATGCTAATCCACCTCCCCCCCCCCCCCCCCTCCTTTCTCTCTTAAGGATTTATTTTCTTTCTTTTTCTTTTTTTTTTGCTTGCGAGCAATCAAAACCAATTTTTTGTTTTTGGTGGAGTTAAAATTGTGCTTGAGTTTTCTATTAAGTTGGTCATTTTCTAATTATTTGATCCAGAATCCATTTACACTTTTCCATTTGAGATTGATTTTCATATCTTTAATTGTTGAAGCAGGAGGCTTTCAAGGCATCACCTAATAATAACACACAATCACCTGAAGTGTTGTCAAAAGCTTCAGCCAATTCTGAAGATGTTAATGATAGCATTAGGAGCTTGACAGAGAAATTATCGGCTGCTCTAGTTAATGTCAGTGCCAAAGAGGACTTGGTGAAGCAACATGCGAAAGTTGCTGAAGAAGCTATTGCTGGTATCACTTCCATTTTAGGGAATATGTCTAAATGGTTTAATTCTTTTTTCACATTCATCTTTGTTTTCTTAGTTACAATCTACTTACTATGTTCTAGTTAATTTTCTCTATTGAACTTCAGGTTGGGAAAAGGCTGAAAATGAAGTAGTGGTGTTAAAACAAAAACTTGAGGCTGCAGTTCAGCAAAACTCAGCACTAGAAGATCGGGTGAGCCATCTTGATGGAGCTCTTAAGGAATGTGTTAGGCAGCTAAGACAGGCAAGAGAGGAGCAGGAGCAGAAGATCCATGACGCTGTTGCAAAGACTACCCAGGATTGGGAGACTGCCAAATTTGAACTTGAGAGCCAGTTGCTTGAGTTCCAAAATAAGGCTGAATCTGTAAAGTCTGAGCCCCCTCCTCACTTCAGTCCTGACCTTTGGCATAAGATTGAAGCTTTGGAGAAGGAAAATTCAGCCCTCAAGCTTGAGCTCTCATCTCATTTGGAAGAGATGGAAGTCAGAACAATTGAAAGGGACTTAAGCACACAAGCAGCTGAAACTGCTAGCAAACAACACTTAGAGAGCATAAAGAAGATAGCAAAGCTCGAGGCAGAGTGCCGAAGACTCAAAGCCTTAGGTTGTAAATCATCCTTTGTTAATGACCATAAATCCCCAGCTGCCTCAATTTATGTTGAATCCCTTACAGATAGTCAATCGGACAGTGGTGAACAGCTTAATGTGGTGGATATTGATACCCACAAAATGAGTGTCTTGGAGGCAAACAAAGGAGAACCTAGCTGTTCTGACTCATGGGCATCAGCCTTAATTGCTGAACTTGATCAATTCAAAAATGAAAAGGTTATCAACAGAAATCTTCCTGGTTCTTCTATTGAGATTGATCTAATGGATGATTTTCTTGAGATGGAGCGACTTGCTGCATTGCCTGAAACCAAGAGCAAGAATCAATGTCTTGAATCGAAAGCTACTGCCAAACAATCAAATGATGGTGATAGTTTATTGAAGGCCGAGCTTGAAGCCATGATTCATCAAAAGGTGGAACTTGAAGAGAAGTTGGAAAAGATAGAAGTTGAGAAGGCTGAACTAGAAATTGCTCTTGCCATAAGTCAAGAAAGTCTTGAAGCATCAGAACTACAGTTGAGGGACACAGAAATAAAATTGGAGGAGCTGCAAAGGGAGCTTTGCATGGCAAATGATGCAAAGCAAAATCTTGAGTCTCAACTCAGTAGCATGGAAACAGATGCAGAGACAATGTCAGCAAAGATTGACTCATTAGAAGCGGAAATCGAAAAGGAAAGGACCTTGTCAGAGCAAGTTTCAGTTAATGCAAATGAATCAAAGCAACTTCTTGAGTCTCAACTCATTAGCATCGAAGCAGTGGCCCAGACGATGTCTGCAAAGATTGATTCATTAGAAACAGAAATTGAAAAGGAAAGGTTATTTTCATCACAAATTTCAGTCAAGTGTCAAGAATTGGAAAAAGAACTGTCGAGAAAGCAACAGGAAGCCGAGCTCCAGCAAACTGCTAAGTCAAACGTTGAATTGAAGATAAAACAGGTAACTCTTCGGTCATCATGCATTTACACAATCTTAACGCATCTCTATTTCCCCATTAATTATTGATTAATGGAGAGTTTTAGAATTATGGTATATTCCATCTTTCTAATAGTCATGAGACCCTATGGCAGGAGGATTTAGCTGTAGCTGCTGGAAAACTTGCAGAGTGTCAAAAAACGATAGCATCTTTAGGGCAGCAACTGAAATCTCTTGCAACACTCGAAGACTTTTTAATTGACACCACGGGCATACCTGAGTTCTCTAGAGGAGGACCATTGATTCCTAAAGCTGGTGGAGAACCTTGGAAATTACATTCTAATGAAACATATTCACCCAAAAGAGATACAGAGTCTCCAAGAGTTAGTGCTAACCGTTCTGGTCCTTCAGTAAATAAGAACGATGGAAACACACCACCTTCTTCATCCTCATCTTCATCAATTGTGTCATCGAATCATGCCAGCTCAGAGAAGAATCGAAATGGATTTGCAAAATTTTTCACTCGGAGTAAGAATGGGATACAACTAGAAATTTAAGAGACTTTAGATCAGTTGTAAAACAAAGAAATTGTTTGTCATTTGAAATACACTGATTAAATGCTGTTTAATCACCATTAATTAGTTCAGTATTAGGTTGTCTCATTATACATGAATGGTTGTCTGGACCCTGGATATAGAAGTTTCAAAGTGAAATATTAAATTTCTAATGCTTGGGGGTTATGCATTCTGTATCTTTTTATGACAAGAAAACTGCAGCATGTGTTTGGCCTTTTCCTTCACTCTTTTCTGTTACTTGACAGTTGCATTTCCTGTTTCCTGTTAGATTTTGATCATGTTAGCTTTAAAAGAATCAAAATAGGCCTGTAGGAAAAAGGAAAAACAGTAATTTCTTCAAGTTATTTAGTTGTGGTTGATCATTCAATCCATTTTAACGAAGGAGGTTGTGGTTGGTTTCTCAGCAAAAACAGGAAAAGAATAATGGGATGGAGTGTGGAGTATGGAACATTGTTGGTTTTGCTGCAATGTTGTCTATAAAGGCTTGTAAATGAAGTTGCTGTCTAACCTGCAGGTTACAGCTAATTTGATATGGATTCTAAGTTCTCGAAGCAGGAGATTGTAATATTCTATGGTCATTGTTCTTGGAATAAGTAATCAAAGATCCTTCAAAAAGGAATAAAGTAATCCAAGAGTACATGTTTCTTTAATCTTTCTTATTAATTCAAGTGTAAATATACTCTCTTTTCTATGTGACGTCGGATTAAGCAGTTGACCAAATAAACTGAGAAGGATAGAAGGACGGCTACAAGGGAGACAAAAAAAGCTTTATTTTGGGGTGAGAGAGGCTCGAACTCTCGACCTCAGGATTACTCAGAAGCTATGAGACCTACGCGCTAGCCAACTGCGCCATCACCCCACGTTGTTCCATGAAACTCACTATTTCTACATGAGTTATATTTGGAGATGAGACACTAAATTTAAAGTATGAAAAAAAATAATGAAATAACCATGGGTAAAAAGATTTTTTTTTTTATAAGGTAATGAAGTCCCCTTTGACATACAGCAAAGAGTGAAAACTTTTAGCTTTATAGATTTTTTTTTGGAAGGAAAAATACCTTGCTTGGACCTAGGCTAAGCCTATAAATTAGAAATATATAACCTTGTAGTTCCAAAAAAGAAAATAATACTAGGCCTAAATTCTATCTTAATTCTGCAGGTGGAGCCAAAGTCATTGTTTTCCCATCTTCTTCGGCTGTTAGTAAATTTTGTTTTATTTAAATTATAAACATTATATCATGTGGTCTTGCATTATATAAGAAAATTAGAGATATTACATTTATTCTACAGTTTACTTACACCAAGGTTCCATGGTGTAGTGGTTAGCACTCTGGACTTTGAATCCAGCGACCTGGGTTCGACTCCCGGTGGGACCTTCTAAAATTTATTACTCTATTTGGTTCCCTCTCTTTTCTTCTAAATCCCAGTTTTCCGTTCTTTTGTTCATCATAAGATTTCTTCAAGCTTCAATCAAAGTGTTACCCTTCTCTTTTCTTTCTTTCTTTTCTTTTCTTTTTTTTTTTTTTGAGTGATCATTTTCCTTTTTCTCTGCTGCAAGAATCAGGCATTTCAAACTTTCAATGAAACACTTCATCTTTCTCCCCCCATAATGCATTTAATGACTAATAATCTCACCTAAAATTAAAGGGATAAAAATTACTGTAACTTGAAAAGTAGTTTGCAAATACAAGCCAAAGACAACTGAAATAAGTATGTAGAGAACAGCCTGATAAAAACATCTGTAACTAGATTTTTAGTCTTTCAAACATATTCAGATATACGAACGTGGAAAACAATCTTTCAGAAAAAAAAAAAAAGTGGAAAACAAATCATATTTTCCCTTGTACATAATTTACAGAGATATATGCATCAGGTTAACAACAATTTACCACATTCCAAACTGGAAATGTCGGAAATGTCTTCCTGTGCGAAATCAATGAAAAAAAAAGTTGAGTTTAAGATTTAGCAAAGTCTTTCTGTCAGTCATTCACCTCGTCACTGATAATGCTGCAGGGGTTTTTTCTCTTTCTTGAAAGCATTGAAGAGGTCGATGCCAAGAAAAGCATTAAGCAAATTCATTCCGGCCATTCCAAACAGGGCAAGTGGCCATTCAACACCATTTTCAAACTTGGGAGCATCTTTGATTAGTTTTACTGTTATCAGAATGTGAGATATAAGCCTTGCGAAAACAAACATGATCCAATTAAGAATCCATTCTACCTTCACAATTCTACTCTTAGCATCACGAATACCAGCCATCCGTCTCACTTTCCTTACATGTAGAAAGACAGAATGCAGCTGAAACATCAAAACAAGAATACCCTTTAGCGTTCTGCAACAGCATCAACATGCTTGCTAGCATTGCTTAAAAAAACTTCAAAATTTTCCAAATATTGGGGTTTAGTTTTACTATTAAGTATTGAATCATTTACAAATTTTTGTTAAAACTTAAAACCATTAGGTATGCAGGATCCAGAACTCAATGCAATATATTGTCACACCACTTCCTCTATGAAAGAATAGAAAAAAAGGTTGCTTACAGTTCTCATATATCATGAACATCAGATATCATAATGAAACACACCACATCTCAGTTATCCAAAAATAATAATAATAAAAGACAAAAAAGGATTCCTCAGCTGCAACCACTAGCATCAAGGGCCACTTATGCTTGCATTAAACTAGATCTGAGAAGCCCAATTAAGCCGCCCTACCTAGATATATCCTCCAATAAGGTGCACATATCATCAATGAATGTCTGTCTACCAAACTATGCTTTGCATTTTAACTGTTTGTCCAATCCAATTACTCAATCTGTAGCGTAGAGTTTTAAACTTAAGGAAATTACTTAAGCTGCAAGTAGCTAGATTCTGCTATATTAGGTTAATGGCTTCATGATTCAATGCACCTTGAGACAAGTCCATCTTAGTCACTACCATAGCACACATAGAGCCACGTATAAGTTAAAACTGTAATTATTTACCTTGAACTAAAAACACTTAATACTAAAATTATGTTTGATTTTCATCCTTAAGATCTCAAGCTGGCATAATCTATGTTTCTATACAAGGAAACCTGTAGTAATGCTTACCAATTAAGCCATTATTCTTATAAAGTTTTAGCAGAAAAGAAATTGAAACATACCTCACAACTAAGAGTGAGAATAAGGTAGTTGATGGTGATATGTCGATACAATGCAAGAGTAAAGCAAATAAGGAGTATCAGGTGATGCATTAGAATGGCAGGGATAAAACCAGTATATAGTCGGTAATGCAGCATATCCCACTGATCATATGCAAAGTAACCACATGAGAAGCACAGAGCCTGGTATGCCCAAGGCCAAGTTCCCTCAACAAGTTGTGTATGATCAAACATCATCTTGAAACCAGTTCTGAACCACTGATTAACCAAAATGAAAACGACTGCAGAGAAAGTAGAAATAAATCAAATCTTATAAAGCTAAGAACAAAAGTAGCTCAACCAAAGAAAAAACTCTTCAGAAACAAAAGGAATACCACAATGTATGAGCATTGGGTACATTTTTACCAACACATAACCAGTATTTTGAACCCTCTTATCAGGGGTGCACTATAATGATTGAATAATAAAGAGTTGATTCGTACATCTACCCCACAAAGAAAGATGCATAGCCATTGCCAGAGACTCTTAAATAAAAAACCCAACTTCGTTCTGAAATCTTCAGTTTGTGCAATTTAACTCTTAAATATAAAACCCAACTGCAGTGCTTTGAAACAAATATAGGCCCTTAATTCCAAAATATCCAACTTCCTATACCTTTTACATACCAAATTCTAAATGCAAAGTAAACACGGATCATATGATGGCTGCAAAATAACTAACCAAACTCAACACTGCAATTATTTACACCTTTTAAATTCCCAAGAAAAACATTAGCAAGCACAGGCCTAGGTTTTTTAATTTAATGGCATACTCAAAATTTATACATTATATATATAACCTATGCTCACAGGAAGCTAAAGCTCTGCTACAATTAATGAAAGCATAGAAAATAAAAATGAAAGCACCAACAGATAGGCAAACGACCCTTCAACAGGCAGAAAAGCTGAGCTCAGCTACCAAAAAAAAAAAAAAAAACATAAAATTAAAACATGGAAAGAGAAAAGAAACAAATACCCAGGTCAGCATAAGTAAAGCAAAAGCCAAAAACGAAGAGAAAGAGAGGGAACGGTGGGGACCTGAAGTTGAAGTTATTGAGGAGTGAAGGAGAGAGACAGAGGTATTAACAAAGAGAGGGTCACGAGAGACACAAACTCTAATAACCCAATTGGCTATTTGGTAAAAGCAAGCACCAGCAACGATGAAAAGGAGCTCTCTCCGCTTGTTGAACACGATTTCGAAGGAAACAGAAACCAACCATAGAAGGAGAGTTGCTGAAAAGAAAGTCGCAGCCTTGTCGCTGCTCCGAGGCATTGCTATGGCTCTTTGAACGTAGGGTGAATAGTACTAAACAGTGAAGAGAGAGAGACAGAGAGAGAGAGAGAGAGAGAGAGAGAGATAGAAGGAAAGAGAGACAGTTGCCTCTTTCAAGGGTGAAAGGCCGATACCTTTAACATTTGTTCGAGTCAAAGAGATCAGATTGCTTTTCTCACCCGCAAACTTTACTCGGCATGCTTTGCCCACTTGTCTTTGGCTTTGCTTTGCAGGTTGTACCGTCGCAGATGTATTCAGAATTCCCTTTATTTTCTTTTTTAAAATTTAGTTATATAGTTATTTTTTTTTATAATATAGTAGTATAATTTTTTATAGAAATATATAGAATAAATTATGTATTTTTTTTAGAAAAATAATTTATAAATTATAATATAATATACCTCTGACCGGATTATAAAAAATTATAATATAGTAAATTACGATTAAAAATTTAATTTCGAGAAATAATGGCTTTGATGGTATGTGATTGAGTTATTTCCAATTGTATAATTTTAAATCCTTTAAATGTGAATTTGAAGTTGTATAGTTCTTACATCAATTCGTGTAAATTGTCAACTTGAAATAGAATTAGTATTTTAGTTTCTTCCTATAATTGGAAGTTGGAACCAAATTTTTGACAAAATGGAACTTGACCACCTCTAACTTTGGCATTTAGATTTTTGATAAGGGAAAAATCAAAGTTCCAATTGCTACAAAAATAGAGATTCACGTTATCTAATTTTTTCCAAGTTTGGGGTTTGATTTGATTGGATTGGATGGCATAAGATTTTTCAGCCCCACAAACCAACCAAATTTAAAACTGAAAATGAAACATGTAAAGATGAGAGAACAAGACAAAAATTTCATGGTAAATCCTCCTTCTTCTTCCGAATCTCTCATTAAAATTTAAACCCATAAATTTCCTTCCTCGCTTCTTCAACAACCCTCTGTTTTTAATTATTATTATTGATCACATTTGTTGCAATTGGGATCAACAACAGCTGGCCCCGCCTTTTACCGTCAACTTAAAATTTCGACTTTGACCTCTCTCAAGCAAAAAAAAAAAAAAAAAGACAGAATAAAACTAGGAAAGAGAAAAGCTGGACACGTGGTTAGCTGCATAGTGACTTTTCTACATGAGCATCGTTTAAAGAACGATAAGTGTATTTAAGAAAGAGGTTAAGGTGTGAGTTGTTTATTTTTGATATAAAATTATAATTTATTATTTTTAATTATTGATTTAGATCAAAATTTTTAAAATGATATTGGGATTATTGTCATTTTATTTGTGGTTGAACTTCAAGAGTTTTTCAATAAAAATTTTATTCTATTGGTCCAACATGATTAAATTTAAATCTGGTAATTTTAAAAAGAAGAGTATCATCTGAAACTTCAACTGTTGGATCTGTTATGAAGATTTGAGGAAATATTATCTCATCTGAGTCATCAGTATTATCTACTTTAATTGAGTCATATGATTTGATAATGTTCTTATGAGATTCAATCTCAAAGATAAAAAGAAAAATATCTGTAAAAAAGAATTAAGGGAGATTATTTTGTGTCATTTAATGAAATATTTCTAAAAAGATTTGTGTGAGAAAAATTATAAGTTGTACAGATTTTTGATCTGGTAGTGATGAGAGAAGGCAAATTCATAAAAAATTATTCTTTATTTTTATTCACAAAAATAAATTATTTTAAATATATTTTTAAAATTTTTATCTTTTATCTTAATTTACAAAAGTATAATAATACAATAATATATTTTTATTTCTTTTTCGATTTTTAGTTGTACCAAATAATAAATAAAAATTATTATTATTATTTTTTGACCTTTCTTATCAAGCATACTATAAATATATATATATATATAATTTTCATGTTTTAATTTCTTTTTTCCTCTAATTTTTTGTTTCTTTATTTTTCTATCTACTCAGACAAACAAATCCCAAGTGTCTAACAATTTATTAACGCGTTACTTGACTGTTGGCTAATGCAACATAAGATGCGTATTATGAATATGGAATAACTGAAGCTGATTAACATTGTATTCTCCACATAATTGTAGCATTTATTTTTCTCAAATTCCCTAATTAATGAGTAAGCTAAAGTTTGTCCCACGCTAAACTAGCTAAGAAGAAAAAAAGAATCATATTTTGATTATTCTTTTCTTCCACCTTTCTTTTCTTGAAAATTTTTGTAATTTAGAACTCATATTTATTTTATGGAGGCTGGTTGAAACTGTCAAGGGCAAGGAGGAAATGACAAAGAGATAAAAAATTTACACGTAAAACTCTAAAAATTATCTAATTTTAAAAAAAATTATTTGATCTTTTTAAATTTGAATTGATTCAATTTGATTTGATGAAAAAAATCAATAATCAACTTATTCAATTTAAAATCGAAATAATTCAAATTTGAAATAACTTGATTATAAAATAATTAAATTTGAAAATCTAACTCAAAATAATTTAAAGTTAAATTAATTTGATTCTAAAATTTAAAAAAATCTAAATTTAAATAGCATAATATTATACTCAAAAGACCCAATTTTTATTCTTAAAGATTGGGTATATTCCTTTTAAAAGAAAATAGGAATATTCCTAAATTTATTCCGCCAACTTATAATTTTAGCCAAGAGTATTTGTGGTGTCCCTATTGTTTTTCCTATTCAAAGCAATTTAAAGGATTGTCATTGCGCATTAAAACATTATAAAAAAAAAATTGGGATTCGAATTTATTAAAAAGTAAAATGGAAGAAGCTTTTTGAAGTAGAAAACGAGGGGACAAAAAAAAAACCACAACAGATAGCGAGATCGAGAAAGCTATCTAGAGCATCCGAGTTGGCAAGAAGCAGATATATGAAAGGCCCACAAAAACAAAGATACTCTTCTCTCGCAGACCCTCAAAGCATGTGGAAAGCCAACATGCCACGTGTATGACATTCGTGTCCACATTTTCCACGTGGCATGCCACAGGAGGCTTGCCAAGATCGCGCGCAACACCAACCTCTTATCCAACAAAATCCCTTTGGTTTTGCTTGTACTTCTGTCCCTCTCTTTCTTTCTTTCTCTTTCCTCCTCTGCCCCAAACGGCTATTGAACAAGTTTTTTTTTTTGAAACGCCATGGCCGTCATAGCTAGTGTTGGTGCTTTGTCTTTGCCAATCTCTTTGTGCAGATCATGCAATATTAGTTCTAAAAAGGTACTGCTTTTTTGCTTTTTTTTTTTATGGGCTTAGTTTATCTGAGTAGCTGTTGAATTTTGAAGAAAATTTAGTTTTTATAGTGGTTGACTTGTCATTTTTTTTTTTAATATTTTGTGGCTGTGAAGCCAGAAAGATTTTTTTTTAATCTATTTTAAGCTCAAATTATCTGCGTCAATTCTAAATTTTATTGAAGTTCAATGATCGTCAAGTATATTGCATTGTTTATAGGTTTAATATAGTCACTTGCATTCACTAGTGAAAAATAAACTTAGGCGTAATAAATGTATAATACTTCTGCTAATCCAAATGAGTTTACTGATTTGTTAATCTTTAGTTAACTTTGATGTTGGTTTCAACCTTGGAAATCATCGTTTTGTTTGTCCTGCTTAGTGCTTACTAAAAAATCTAAAGTCAGTTGATCTGTGGCTTAAATTTCGAGATTGGTGCAGTTTCAGGGCGTTAGAGGAGGCTTTGGTGTGTTTGCTGTGTTTGGGGAAGAAAGTAGCTTGGAGGATAAGAAGAGCCCGTGGGGCACTCTCTTTGATGTAGAGGATCCAAGGTCTAAAGTCCCACAATGTAAAGGAAAGTTTTTAGATGTCTATCAGGCCTTGGAAGTGGCTAGATATGATATTCAGTACTGTGATTGGCGGGCCCGGCAAGATTTGCTCACAATCATGCTTCTTCATGAAAAGGTCTTCTTCGATCTCAACTTGATATTCTTCTTTCTATGAACTCAGAAGTTGTGCTATGCTTATACGTGTTGTACTATTTACTACTTGACGCATGTTTTGAACTTCTCATTTTGGTTGTTTGTTTAGTTATTTTTGACAAGAAAATCTGCTATTTGTGAAATATTTACTGTTTACCTAATATATATATTTTTTCAATTTAATCTTTTGGGAAGCTTTTGGTGCTTCATTATGGTAGTTCTCACTTTGTTGGAAATGGTTGTAGGTAGTGGAAGTGTTGAATCCTCTAGCTCGTGAATACAAGTCTATTGGCACCATGAAGAAGGAGCTTGCTGAATTGCAAGGAGAACTAGCACAAGCTCACAAACAGGTGGGCAAAATTAGCAGTTAATTAAACTGTGATTGAATTAATTTCTAATAGGACAGTATGCATCAACAAAAATTAAAAAAATTCCAATGATTCTGGGCTATTCAACTGATTAGTTTTCATTCAAAAAAATAATCAGAGTCAGACGTAAATTAATTACCATAAGTATGTTTATAATAATCATACAAAAAAAGAATAATCACAGGAGGTTCCACTCTGGTCGTAGCCTGTTTTGATTCTGATCCATGAGAAATAACAGGTACATATATCTGAAGCAAGGGTTGCTGCTGCTTTGGATAAACTAGCTTACATGGAGGAATTGGTTAACGATAAGCTGTTAGAGGATAGTATCACAACAGAATCCAACCTAGCATCCCCTTCTTCTAGTATATCAATACAATCATTAGATACTGTGAAGAGGAAGTTGCCCCGGAAGAGCTTGGATGTGTCTGGTCCAGTTCAACCATATCACCTCCGCTTGAAGAATTTCTGGTATCCTGTTGCTTTCTCCACTGATCTGAAGGATGACACTATGGTAAGCTATAGTTCAGAACTATAATATTGTTTATCATCTATGCAATCAGTTATGTAATGACAACATATGGACATATATCCTCATTCTGCATAAGGTTGATAGGCACCATTGTTTCCTTCTTTTATTTTTGGTTTCTTATGGCAATTAGCTTATCTATGTCCACTATGAGATTGTGTTCTTTGATGGGTTTACGTGGAAATCTTGTAGTTTTCATTGCCCAACCAGTTAACAGATATCCTTTTACTAATGTCTTGTTACTTCTCATTCCAGATTCCAATTGATTGCTTTGAGGAGCCATGGGTTCTTTTTCGTGGAAAATATGGGAATCCAGGATGTGTCCAGAACACCTGTGCACATAGGGCATGTCCTCTTCACCTTGGTTCAGTGAATGAGGGTCGTATCCAATGTCCCTACCATGGTTAGTAAGAGTTTAGGAAGTTTATAAGCGCCTGTTATCATATTTTCTGAAAAAACGAGATGTATATCAATGAATGGTTTACATGCTATATATGTTAGGACTGATATCCAGTCCTTAAATGTGTTTAACCAACAGTTTTTATAAATTTTTCTACCTCTTCAAACATTTTTTTTATATATATCAGGATGGGAATACACAACAGATGGAAAATGTGAAAAAATGCCATCTACGCGATTACTTAATGTGAAGATAAGGTCATTGCCATGTCTGGAGCAAGAGGGAATGATCTGGGTTTGGCCTGGTGATGACCCACCGACAGCAACCCCTCCTTCCTTAGAACCTCCTTCTGGATTTGAAATTCATGCTGAGGTATGCTGTAAATGTTTTTAAAGGCTGTTGCAATTGCAAGAATCATGTGAACTTTGCTTAAGTGACTTGATGAAAAAATTAGACAACATTATAACTGAAGTAAAAGTCCCACTGTCTCACCTTAATTTTTTGGTATGCTGATAAATGACAGATTGTCATGGAACTTCCGGTTGAACATGGGCTACTTTTGGATAATCTTTTGGATCTCGCTCATGCTCCTTTCACTCACACTTCCACATTCGCCAAGGGATGGACTGTTCCTAGGTTTGTTTCTGCATTTAGATTGGCAAATGTGTTTTTATTGCTTTTGTATTTTGGTGTTGAAGCAGAATAGTTTTCGTTTAAGTTTTTGCACTTAACCATTTTCAGTGCAACAGATGAGCAAATGAAAGACTGGGCTTACAGACATCTTATTTAAATGGTTGGAAAAGTTAGAATTATATGCAAGTCTTAATAAACAAAAACGTTCAAAAGGATTGTTGTCATCGTGCTCTGCCTTCGCCCCTTAATTATGAATTGTATTTGATCATTTCTTCTTTTCATATACACTACAACAAAACCTACCTTGCTTTCTGGTCAGATGAAAGTCTGAGTCTTGTGGCTTTCTAACAATAACTTGTCTAAATATGTTGCTAGTCAGTAGCATAGAAGGACCAGAGGCTAGCAATGCATGCTGTGTATCTATTTTGAATACATAATCTTACTGTGTGTAATCTGAACATTTCAGTCTGGTAAAGTTTTTGACCCCAGCATCTGGTCTCCAAGGATACTGGGACCCTTATCCCATTGATATGGAATTTCGACCACCTTGTATGGTGCTATCGACCATCGGGATATCAAAGCCTGGGAAACTGGAAGGACAGAGTTCCAAGGAATGTGCGACACACCTTCACCAACTTCATGTATGCTTACCTTCATCACGAAAGAAGACAAGACTATTATACAGAATGTCACTAGATTTTGCTCCCGTATTGAAGCGCATTCCTTTTATGCATTATTTATGGAGGCATTTTGCAGAACAGGTAAAATAATATCTTCTTTTTCCATTCTTTGGGTAGTGGATTGGTGGTTTTAGGGATAGTTAAACGCACATTAGTCACTTTTTGAAAACCTCCTTGAAATCATCCTTGGCTGTCTGTCCGAATGACTTGCTGAAAAGATTGGTAATATTTGATAGCTATGATCAACATCTTGTGATAGTGCGTATGACTTTTCTGAAGAAGCTAACTTCAAATTTCCCATGTAGCACGTTTAAATTATGGTTTTTGTTACCAAATGCTTACAAGAAGTATGCAATATGTCATCTTCAATCTCTGCTTTTGCAAAATTAATTTCCTTTTCTGTTTATCTATAATATGGTTTTTCAAGACTTTAGGTATTGAAACCATGCTGGTGGCTATTATTTTAGCAGTCTTTCCTCTGAACTTTTAGTGTTTGAATAGCAGAAGTGTATGATATCTATCAATCTTGCTTGTCACTAATATTTCTGGTCCTACTTTTAATGCTATATATACAGGTGTTGAACGAGGATCTGCGACTTGTTATTGGCCAGCAAGAACGTATGATTAATGGGGCTAATGTCTGGAATTGGCCAGTAGCCTATGATAAGCTAGGAGTGAGGTACAGATTATGGAGAGATGCTGTTGAACGAGGAGCTAAACAATTACCCTTCAGCAAACCAATGTAAATTTTATCTCTGGCAACCTATTTAACAACCCTTCTCACATTATCTGGACCATCTCTTGCACTCTCAAACATGCTTAGTACCACAATCAAGGATACTTTAAAGGTTTGGCATTGGTAGGAGTTGTTTTCTACCCAAAAGCCCTAGTAAAATATAGAACTGTACACTGCTTTTATAGTTTTTGTGTACAGTCCAAATCCAATCCCCATTTTTTTCTCCTTTGATAACCCCGGACCAGAGAAATGATCAGAATTTTTTTTTGTTGCCTTAGAACTTGGAAGCCAAAGTTAGTCTCTTGTCCTGCGGCAGCAAAGATCCTTGTACTATAATGACTGATGTTTAAAGAAATCTTGAACGGATCACTATTTTACTTCCCCAAGGTTCAAAATATTCAATCACTTTTTCATCAACCAGTTGGCTTAATTCCATTTCTATAACCATAAAGATACCAGCTGAAAACACTGAAGATAAACCGATATTTCTAGCAGAATCCTTAACAAAGATCAACTCCAGAAATTGTTTATTTATTGATAACAGTCAAAGCATATATAATTCGAATTGCCTTTTTGTTGAAATTGCCACTTTTAATTATTGATCGAATCAGAAAGGATTACTTTTCTTATGTCTTTTTCTCAAACCAATCATTAATATGTTGATCCATTTCAATTTTCTGTAACATTTTCTAACCTACGAAATGTAAAGCGTCTGAAATGATAGTAGATGATGAATCAATATTGGGAGGTGGAAAAGTCATATTCTTAGGGAAAAAAAGCTTGCAGTAGTTACAATACTTGATATTGAGGCTCTTTTTCAGGTCATCTCCAAATGGGAACAAAGAGAAGTTTCAACACTTTCTCATACACAGACGAGAGCAGCATTGGCATTGTAATTGGTACTATTCAGATAAAAGATACACTGATAGAATTGTCTTCTTTTTATACTTTTCTTCTTGATCACCAGAAATAAATCTTCTTCCTGGGAAAAAAACAGACTAGAGGTATCAATCTCCATTAACAAAATGGGGTATTTGCTCATCCTCTATAGTTAACCTCCCAACTACATCCAAAATGGGGTATGTCTAGTGAACACACACAACATTCTCAATTAAGTTGGCACTCCATTATATTACTAATTATAATATCAGTATTTTATCAGATACGTAGAAAAAAACCCGGTACGAATAGTCTATTTATCTAATGCTTATGATCACCTTAAAACATTGATTCTTGGAGTTTCAAATGTAAACCCATATCTCATTGATTTAATTCAGAAAAGATCAAAAAGTGTAACTCACTGAAACAGGGTTTTATGAATCATGTTACACGATAACGATTGAAACAAGAAATATATATTTAACAAAAATTTGCCATATCACTTTATATTAGGCTATCATGTAACTTATCATCATAGTTACGATTTACACACTAATAAACTAAATAAATTACATTCTCCCTCAAAGACATTAATCAACAATATATTAAAAGAACTCAATTACGATTGGAAGATCAGATCAAAAGTGAATCAGCTGGGCGTCTGATATCGGCACAGTGGACACAAGTGAGACCACTTAACGATGCAATCATCATGGTAAACAGGTCCACAAGGCATCGAGCCAACCTTGTTACCATCAAAGAATTCATCAAAACAAATCGTACATTCATTCTTTGAACTCAAACCTTCAAGTAATCTCCTCTTTTTGAAGGGTAGGCAACCTTCATCACCCAATTTAAACCTTTTCAAAGCTTGAATAGATGAACTATTAGCAGGCTTGAAATTCAATGAACTCAATGACTCATTAATTGCCTGATCAATTTCAGTATCAGTCAGCTCCTGATCAACCTTATTATCAGTCACCAGATTAACCTCATCATCAGTCACCACCTGATAAACCTCATCATCAGTGAACTCCTAATCAACCTCATTATCAGTAAATCAACCTCATCAGTCACCTTGACAACCACTTTCACTATCAACTTTATTATTTTACGTCCAAGGTTAACTAGGTCACTACAAAATATCAGGAACAATGACAGTTTGAGTGAACTGTAGAGATGCACCTGTGCTAGCAAACATGGAAAGTAAGATGTCTGGATCGTACTCTTCGTATAAAAGCATGTCACGACAATATCTGAGGGATTGATTTAAAGTTCCTAAGATTGTTTCCAAATTAAGAGATGAAATATAACAAAACCCGAATTATATGTTGAATAGATCATATGGGATATATGCTGTTCTAAATGATTATCTATTTCTCGCCCAATCTCGATGTTGTCAATGTAAGCCATAGCCATATGTGGGAGTTCTTTGTCTGGGTTTCGGTTGTGTTCCAATCAGAATTAAAGTTTGTTTGTAAGTGAAAACAAGTATTTTTTTATCAAGTTGAAGGGTTTATAAGAATTTTGATATGATGAAATCACCAACTCTACTAAGCCTGTTTGTGGAAAAGATGAAAAAATAACTTGATGTTCAAGTTGGTTCCTTTTATTTAAGCCATTTTCTTCGCTGTTTCTTTTCCTTCCTTCCCTGTAACTCTCTATCAATTAGGATTTAGGCTTATATAGATATAACAAAATTTACTACATTATGTTATATTACATAGATATGACAAAATTGCTCAAGATACAATACAACACATCCTATCATAAGTTGTATCAATATGGTTATGCTATAGCAATGGATCATGCTGAGAACTACTCCTATCATACTATCAAGTAGAGTCATGATTTTTTGAATCATGAACTGACACAACATGATTCATGATGGATTACAGGCTTATACTTGATACGGTCTAACATGACAAAAATCTGATGGGTTACAAACTAACATATGATATGAATAACACGATGCATATTTTGCTTTTTTTTTTTTCTTCATTTGATTTCCACACTTCATATCTTTAATTTTTTTAATTGACTAATAAGTAATAAGTGATGATTCCATAAATTTTTTTCATATAATATATCATTTGATATATATATTGAAATTGTGAGAGCAAATTATTTGATCAAATAATAATCTATGAAATGTGTATTCTATTCAAAGATTGGTTAGATGATGAATATAATTCACAAAAAGAAAATATATCTTTGGAATAAAATGAAGAAGATGTATCTTTAAAAGAAAACGATTAGTTATGGTAATTGTTCTTTGTACTTGTAAAATTTATTGTTTTTGAGGTAATTAATGTTTGTAAACTTTATTTATTTATAATATAAAAGTTTTCTTTTTATTGTGGATATAAACATTTTAAGTCAGATCAAGTAAATAAATTTTTTAACATTTTGCATATAAATATGTAAGAATTGATAAAAAAAAATTACACATAAAAAAAATTGAGTCAAATTTGATCCAATCTACTAAGTGTCAGCCCATAAATTATACTGAGCTTAAAATTTTAAAATATGAATCATATTTGACACTATTAATATTATAGACAGACTAAACTAGCATTACCGACAAAGATCGAGCTCAATATTAAGCCTTGCTGAATCAGTACAGCCGTCAAGCCCATGTTGCCATCTTCTACGTCAATGTGTTTTCAATAATTTGTAAACAATGATTCTATGGTATATTCAACAATCATTGCTCACTAAATCATGAAAGGCCAACCTTAGTTAATTATTCTTACTGTATTACTCAAGATTAATTTCTAATCAATTATAATTTATAAATAAATCTATAAAAGAATAAGTAGTTTATAAATAAATTACTCATGATTAATTTATCAATCAATTTTAATTTCAATGTTTTTATGATCAATTTATTTAAATTTTTTGATATTATGCTAACTGTTGAATTTAAATAAAATGATAAGAACACAAAAGTCAAAAGAAATGTTATTATACTTATTTTAATCTTTTCATATTACATTAATTAATGTTTCCACTTAAGTTAATTAAAAGAGTAAGGACACCAAAGCACATTATTAGCTCAACAAGAAAACACATGGTTTGGTAGGGGCAGAACCTGAACTCAGACTCAACATGCTAATCACCAAAACGGCAATGCAAAGCCTCCGAAATAGCAGCAGATGATTAATCAATCTTGGAAGCTGGAAAAGACAAATTCTGATATAAGAAAAGCTTGCAGTTGTTACCATGCATGAAACTGAGAGACTACCTTTCAGGCCATTTCCTAATGGAAATAAAGAAAAATTTCAACATTTTCTCTTACTTGACATGTAATACCCGTAAAAAATAAAAATTAAGTATTTTATAAGTGAAGGGAGTTTCTAATAAAAAGTTAGAAAGGTAAATAACTTATCAGTAAATAATTCAATTTTTAATAGGATTAATTTTTATTACTATTTTTGGTAATAACTAATCCAAAAAAAAATAAAGGCTTATTTCTCATTTCTTTCTTATATAGATAAGTTGAAAGATTTTAAATGAAAGGTAAGAATAAAATTTACAAGGAGAATTATCTTTCAAAGGTGAGTAAATGATTTTCTATAATTTTAGGGAAATAATATTGATTGTTGAGTTTTAAGATTTAACTTGTAATAGAGAAACCCTAAAATTTTAAGAAATCCATTATCCCTCTTCAAGGTTGGTTTGGACAAATCATTTAAACTTTAATCATGACCTAATAATGTGTTAAGAAAGTTTAGTAATATGATTTTATTACTGTAAAAATAAGAAATAAAAATTTGATGGGGTTAGAAAGAAAAATTTATATTTTGTATGAATCGGTGTTTGCAGTGGTAGATTAAGATAATATTCTATATTAAGAGATAAAATATTGGTTTGATTATTATATACCATTGGAAAACTTGCTGAATTTACTTTCTAATGAAATAAATGGAAGTCAATTCCAAATTTTTCATGAAAAGTAATATGATTTTTGCTTAAGGATATGCAAGTTGCTTAGTAGTAGTAGCTTAGAGGAATTACGAAATTCCTCTTAATTTTTATACAAAGAATTATAGATTAAACCATATATGTTTGGAAAGCTTATTGAGTTTACTTTTGAACGAAATAAGCGAAATTGAATTTAGAGTTTCTTATGTATAAATGTGTAATTTTTATTAAAAGGTATACATGTTATCTGACAGCAGCATATAATATGGATTACAAAAATTATCCAAGAGGAATCATGAGATGGGTCATATATGATTAGAAAGCTTATTGTGTCTAGTTTCTAATGCATTAAAAAGATTTTAATTTTAAATTGGATATCTTAAGAACTGACTGTTTTAGTGAAAAAAGCTTAGGCTATCAATCTTAATTAATTGAGTTAACACTTGTTTAACTTAATTATTTTTGGTATAATTGGTTTTAAAATGGGTTGATTAATTTATGTTATGTTGAAATTATCTTGAATAGGTCGTTAATAAATTGGGAAAAAACTAAATGGTGGAATCGAAAGGATATAAGTAGAATCTCATACATTTTACTTATTTTTGAACCTATGTATATACATATGTTTCTAAATGAGTAAATGTTTTATTTCATTATTTTTGATATAAATAGGACCAAGCATATGATTATTTTATGTTTTTGCTATGTAAATGATGGATCATGCTTATGAATTAAATGAGAAAATGATTTATGTTTAAGGAACAATTTTGTGATAGCTATATTTTTATATCCTTAAAAAATGGGATCATTAACACCAAAACTAGTTCTACGGCTTTACCTAACAAGTTATGATAGTTAGTATAGCGATGATCATACGGCCCTACTAATGGGTTATAGTAGTTAGCATTAGGCTCTGGGTAGCAGGTTATAATAATTAGCAATGATCATGATGATGAAATTATTAATATGGCCAATGTTATAGGTTATAGCAGTGATTGTAGCTAATGATAAACTAATGATTTATGATGATTTGTGATGATTTCAAAGATTGATCCATGATTTATATATGAAGATTATTTACGATGATTTTTAATGATTGATCCATGATTTGGTTTGATTACGATATTTGAATGGTAGTATATTTTTCAATGATTTATAAATTGACATGTTTTGATATTAATTTATGAATTTACGAAATATTTGACAAAATGATGATTTTTGAAACGTTTTGACATTATGATTTGACGAATGTTTTGAATGATCTATATGATATATATGAAAATAATGCTTGATCCGGTAAGATGTGTGAGCCTATACTTGCTGAGCTGTAGTTTGCTCATTCTCCTTTTACTTTTTCTTTACAAATGAGTAAATAATAAGTTTGCTTAGTTATGTAAGAAGCTAGAACATCAAATTGGAAAGATTACTCAGATATTAGAGACATTGTTGGCTAATAAGCTTTTATAAAGTAGTTTAGTATTTTTATTAGTTTGTATTTGGGAATATGAAGATTTCTTATTAATTAAATTAAAGTTACAGATTTTCTTAAATAGATTATTTTATTAAAAAATTTTAGAATGATTGAGAAAGAATGCTTCATATTACTTTGGGATTTTACTTCAAGGTAATATGGTCATATTATATCTCGGTCTCGAGACATGATATAAAGTGATATCATATTTGAAGAATTTTGAAGAGATAGATTATGATTTTTAGATTATAATGAAATTTTCTTTAAAAGCCTAAGTTATGATTTTTGGAGATTTTATAAGAGTTTAGGTTATTATCTTTAAATTATGTGGGATGCTTTAGAGAGTATAATATGATTTGAGGATTTTCTAAGAACTTATATTATGATTTTTAAAAATTTTCTAAAATGTTAAATTATGATAATTAGATTAAAGGTGATTTTTTAATATCATAACTTATGATCCTTGGGTTGAAACAAATATTCTACAAGAATGGTTATCATCCAGATATTATGTGTAGATTTTTAAGAACTTGATGATGGTCTCTAAATTATATGATGATTTTCGAAGAACTTAAGTTTGATCTATAAACTATAATAGTAAGTGTAAGTAAATTATTCAATGAGCTTTAGAGTAGTTA